ACTCTTATATCTCAAAATAATATCCACATAAGGCATAATCATAAATATGCTGAATTTTTTGTACATAAAATACACAGTCTTACGGGTAAAAGCACACAACGCACAGAGAACGCCCGAAAGCAGAATATGACAGAGACTTCATGTTGCAAAAGATTTATCAGTTCTGCATCCTATTAGGTTTGTTCGTTTACGGAGATAACCGTAGTTCTATATTCCTATGACTAGTAAAACAATCATCTCACATCTTGTTAGTTTATACCTGCGGCAAAAAAGAACACTAGGGAAAGGAGTTTACCTTTACCAAGAAGTTGCTCAAGTACAGGAGTCTACCGTTGTTATGTGTCCCTTGCTACATGAAGGCATCAGCATACACGTTCAGTCGAAGAGCCACCATACACTCACTCACTCTCACACTCACTCACACACACGTACGCCCCCGCGCCGTCACCTCGCTCAGAGCACCGCCATGCCCTGGCCGAGGCAGGAGCAGGGGCTGGGATGTCATGTTGGCTGCAGGTGCGCGGCCTGGTGCGCAGCCTGGAGCGCGGTCTGGCTGGCCTGGTGGTGCCGGACGGCGCTAGCGCTGCTGGGCCGGCGGTGAAGCTGGCGCGCCTGCGGCTGGTGGTGCTTGGAGATGATGCCGAGCGTGCGCGCCACCTGCGAGAGCCGCGCCAGCACCTCCTCCTGCACCAGCGAGAAGGCCGTGGCGATCAGCACCAGCCCCAGCAGAAGGTACGCCACGCAAGCGGACACCTGGAGGACACACAACGGTCAGCACCACGCCCCAATGCCATCGCTCCTCCTTACCAGAGGTCTCCATCGATCGGTTCACCGGTCCCGGGAGTGCACGAGAAGTCACATGTGCAGCCGTACGACGGTGATGGAGCTCGAGCCTGGCATCTGTCTCTTGCACCTACCGCTCTCGGACGATCCCGGGACTGGTGGACCAACCGATCCAGATCCCCCTTCTCCTCACCCTCTGCAGGTGCCAACGCCGTGCCAACGCCACTCACCTGCAGCTGGCCGCCCTGGGACTCGGCGCTCTTGAGTGACTTGCCGGGGACGAGGTCGCCGAAGCCGATGGTCGAGAGCGTGACGAAGCAGAAGTAGGCACCGTCGAGGAAGCTCCACTCCTCCCAGGCGGCGAAGACGGCGGCGCCCAGGCAGATGTACACGGCGAGACCGAGCAGCACGAGGTAGACGGGCACGCGGGGCGGCGGCGGCGGCGCGTCCACGTCGGCCGCCGCCTCCACGACCACGAGCGAGGGCGGCGGCGGCGGCAGCGCGTAGCGTCTCGGCGGCGGCGGCGGCGCGCGCTTCACGGGCGTCGACATGGGCGCCAGGCTCACGGGGACGCCCGAGATCGAGTTGGAGCGGCACAGCAGCGGCACCCGCGATGGCGTCGAGTGCGGGCCGCAGCTGCAACAGGGAAGGATTGTGTCAGGACGACCGAGGAGGATGATCAATCTGAATGCGTGCATCTGGCACACCTGCCATGTGTAGCTGAACTAACAACAACCTGCGCCCAACAAGGGCTCGTGTACTCTGACCGGTGACCGGTGGGCTTGACGGTGACGGTGACAGTGTATAGAAGGCATGACCTAGGGCACGAGCACGACACTACAATTTCCGAGTCAGGCTTCCGAGCCAGGCATCACCCCCTTCCTCGATCTGTCAGTCGTTGACAAGCCGTCCTTATGGCACTACACACTGGCACACATGTGCAAGCACACACACACACACAGTTGCACGCTAGCGCGGACGCCAGGCGGCATCCCATATGGCCATCCCCCTCCCCTTATCATAGCATAGGCATTTGCGGAATTTCCAATAATAGCGACTGACCAACACAATATCAAAGGGCGATGCGAGCCGACGTGTCCCCGATGTGCATATCCTATGAAGTGCAGTGGAGCTGTATGCGGGCGGGTGGGGTGG